GCATGTAAAAGTAAGTGTAGTAAATGGCCCATATTTTGTTGCAATCTTCAATTGATGGCTATTATTGCCGCACAATGGCTGCTGTTATCATTCATTGTTATTGTAGCTGTTATCTGTACGGCAACAAAGTGTCTAATGCTATTAGCCCGCCGCACTTGCTGGATCTTTGCTCACATTGTTGTGCTTGACCAAGTGCAAGAGTGTGGCGTGTGGCTCACGTTCTCTATATACATATATATGTATATATATATATATATCTGGTATTTGGTTGAAAGCAAAAAGTGCTGTAAAGTAGCTGAAAATCCATAGCGAAAGAGATGTGAACGATGTAAAGAGAATTGTTAATGGTTTACGTCCCGTTTAGAAAAGTTTTTGGGACCAAAAAAAAAAACATGAAAAACGAAAACTTTTAGCCCAACAAACTGACAGTTTAAAATGTTGAGCACTTTGTAAAAGGTGGTACCAGGTTGTTTTTAATGGATACGTTCACAAGTGTAAAAGGTTTGCAGTTAGCTTCACTTACCGGGGTGCGTCGTTAATCAAAGCCAATTTGCCAAAATCATCGCCAGTCTTCAGTGTGGCAACAGTCCCTTTGCCATGTATCACAACATCCACGGATCCTTTGAGTAATATGTACCAGGAGCGGCCCTCGTCGCCTTGATTGAATACTATGGTTCGTGTTGTTGACATTTATGTAATGAGGCGCGTAAAAAGGGATGAACGGCAAAAAGGATAACAGCGTTAAGAGCTTTTCCTTATTATATAACATTTCTATATGAACATATATATTTTTGCTTTATTTTCTGTGAAATATTTAGCTCAATTTGCGGGAAATTCAATTAACAAACTTTGCCTGACTATAACCTGGCAGGGGGCACTCGAATTTTGTCTCGAAATATCCCATTTTCGACAGCATGTTGTATAAACTTCTAATAAATATCAAGAGAGAGGAAATACAATACATACAATCTCTAATTCAGTCAGAATATATTACTTTTTAATTGCATGAAAATTTATTCTTGATTTTAAGGTATGACCAAAATATTAACTACATCTAATCAACAACAGCCGACAATATAAATAATTGAGTTTTTCCATGAAAAATATTTGAGCCTTGGCATAAATGAAAGCTATATTAAGTTTCATAATGCCAAAGCTCAAAAATTTAGCAGCTGTTTGTTAAAATTGATCTAATTATTCTCTAGGACTATCCCATGTCAAGGGTATTTAATCTTTGGCCAGCTGTAAGCCAATAGTTATTTCATGGTTTAGTTTGTAAGTTAATTAATGTAAATGAGTTTTTAATTGATGAGCTAATTGTCAATTTGATATGATACTTACATATGGTGCCCGCCTGTGCGTGGGCCTCGAATACAATTATTGAGGATAGCTCACGCTTGATGCTGGTCGATAAATGGGAGAGGGCTGCTATATGAACCAGTTCCTCAAATACCAGTTCCAGTTCCTCGGGTGTGCGCTCGTGTGAACTGTGTGCATATAAATTGATTAAAAACAAATAGGCGCATTCGGGGCTTGTGTCTTGCATCGACAATGCAACTAATTGGCAAGCCAAAGGCAAAGGCAAAAGCAAATATCAATCATACGCACTGTGTGCCCAAAGCAACATTTGCATAAGTTATTATCTGCTTGTGTGTGTGTTTGTTAGTGTGTGTGTGACTAGTTGTGGCTTCTGTCAAACAGACAATAACTAACATTTCGGCTTTAAGCTGCTTTTCATTCGCATACTTTTGGCATTGCCAGTTTAATAAGTGCTTCTCAAGTAGCACAATCAATATTGCACTTACGGCTTGCGCAATATCATGCGCAATGTTGCATCTGGACCACGTTGAAAGAGTGCACTCAATGCCTCACGTATATGCTCATTAGCTGCACTGAGATCCTCAGCAGCTGGTATGCCCGCTGCAGGTGCTCCGCCCTCCTCGTCCAAGCGAAATCGATACAGAAAGCATTTATCCTTGAATGGCTGCTCCTTGTTAACTGTTGTAGAACAAAGTGTTAACGATTGTTAAATTCGTTAATTGTGGCAATAATTGCAACTGAAAGTGAGCAAGTTTCACTCTTCACTTCACTTCCGCCCCCCCTTCCACTCACCATGTGTCAGTACGCCTTCCTCGAGCAACGCCTGCCACATGCCCGCCGCCTGGGCGCGTGTGTGCACAATGGGCGCCAAGTTAACTAGCCAATCCACCAGCTCTGTACCGGGCGCACACTTGCGTATTAACTTGCCCGAGACCTACAACAATTGGTCATATAATAGAAGTTGACTTTGTGCAAAGCTAATTGCCAGCCATTACTCACCTTGCGATCCTTCAAACAGCTTGAGTTATCGACCACCAATAAAGTTCGCAGCGCCCAGCCCATGCGGTTCATAGCAGGACTCGGCGTCTGGTATTTAAGGAGGAAAATACATGAAAATATATTCAGAAAATTGAATAGTATAAATGTTATTTTTCTTATAGCAAAAGGTTTCACCAAAATAAATATACACAGGTAAATTCTGAACATACTTCCACAAATATTTGATAAAAAATTCAATTAAAGTTTTGTTTAACACGAGTCCACATATTTTTGTGAAAATTCTTCTGAGTGGAATTCACAACAAGAGATGTTGGAATTCTAATTATAATAAATGAACAATTATTATATCTATATTCAAATACATTGACTACTTCAAGTCAATGCATATTATCGGTTCCAAATTAAATGAATATTGTTTGCGAATTTATTAGGCAATAAATTCAGAAGATAAAGTTGAATTAGATTAGAGTAAAGTCTTATGTTTTATATTTGAACTTTATAAATAATTGTTATAGTTTTTTTTTTAAGTTGTTTCTGTTTCATGAATATTACAACAATTTTAAATTTTTTTAGTTTTTTTAAATAAATGAGTTTGTTTTTAATTCAAAACAAATTTTCAGGTAAATTGTCTACTCTCTTTTAATGGCTACCACAACAATTTATTAATTTATTATATCAAAATTTATTTTGCCTGTTCTACTAAATCATCTCGGTTCCTATAAACATCAAGAAAATGTGCGCAACTTTGACAAATGATTTAATTAGTCAGCTTGCACGTTTTTAGTAACTGATTTTTCAGGAAGTTTAAGTGGCATAGGCTCAATGTCAACTAAGGTCCTGGCACGATATATATTTATTAAGGGGTAGGTGTATGTGTGTGTGTGTGTGTGTGTACTTTGTGATTTATTACACTTACGCACGCACACACGCACGGAAACCTACGCAGTCTGTCTGCTTACCTCGGTAATGGGTAGCGCTGGATTGGGATGATCCGGACTCAGTGGGCGTTTTGTAGGCGATGTGGCAGCTGCTGGCTGTACGCCGGGTCCGAAACCTGTTAATAGTAAACGAGAATAATGTCAACATATGTTCATTTGTGCGTCTACTGTTAGACGACACTTAATTAAAATTAAAAAAAAATATATAATTGATTTTATAATGTTAACCTCGTATTTTAATGCCCGTTTTCAATTAAAAATAATTATTATTCATTGTTATACCCTGTACACATTGAAAATGTTGGTGCTAATGTATGTATTGTAGTTTATATTATATTATTTTATATCGATCTCAAAGACTATAGAAGCTATAGACTTTAATATTGGAATATAAGTTCTGGAATGAATGAAATCAATTTCATGATGTAGATCATTAGTTTTTGGCCTGAAATCGATAAATATCGATAAATGTATCGGCAAATCGATAAATATGGATTGTATGTCCCGTTTTTTTCAAAGTTACAACCTTGCATTTTTGTATACACACATCTTAAATTGCCACAATTAATACAGAAATAATTTAAAAATTCATATAATGTTCGTGTGTCTGGTTACAGGGTAACCCGCAAGTCTATCACTCTTGAGTAAATCAATTTTGCTTATTATTATTAACATTTGTTACATACCATTCTTTAATTTGCAATTGGTAATAATGTCATTCATCAACTCCTTGTTTTTCTGCAATTACAAATAGGTAATGTGTTAGTAATCGAGCTGTTATTGTTGTTGTTGTTATGTTTATAAATATAGCAATATATTCTTGTTGTTTATGTTGTTTTTGCTATGGCTCATTGCAATTGTTGATGACGCGTACATTGTTCATTTCAAATGCCGTTGATTGTGGACGCTGCTGACGCTCCCCACGACGCCGCAGCTTGACAGAAGCGGAAGTGGCGCCAGGTCTTGCTGTTGTTGTTGCAGTGGCAACTGTTGCTGCTGCTGTGTCTGTTGTTGCTGCTGTCTGCTTGTCGCTGTCGCTGTGGCGTCTGTAGCGCAGCAGCACACACAGCGCCGCCTCATCGCTGGCCACAACTTGGCCAGAACGACGCTGGAATTGGCGCTGTTCGCGCTGCAGCTGTCGCAATTGGACAGCTGACATCGGGGCAACACACTTTCACTTTAGCGCTCGGCAATTTCTTGGCGCATTCTTTGCGTTATTTTTAGTATATTCGTATTTATTTTTTGCGAGCTCTGAGGCAGGTAATTTCTGTCAAACGTTGTCGCGCGCACTGATAAGCCAGCTGGTGGGGCGCACAGTTGAGGCGCGCCTTGCCACTGCATGTCTCATTGTTTTTGTTTCGTCTTATCAGCTTCACTTGCTAGGGTTGCCAGAGCGCCAGCCAAATAAGGCAGCTATATATGGCTATATATAGCTGTCAATTTGTCGTGACATTTTCATAAATAATCAAAGGCTATGCTGAAGGGCAAGGGCAAGGGTAAAAGGCCCGCATGCCACACAATGTTCTACTATGTTCATTTACCAATTAGGAAGGGTATATTGGTTTTGTGAAATCTCCGTCTGTTTGTCAGTCCGTATGAACGTTTTTTTTCTTCTCAGAATATATAATCGTGTATATCGGCCTCAGAGAAAGTGTAAACATATTTCAGATACGGCTCATTAGGACATAAAATTCAAAGTCTAAATTCATTTTATAAATTATAAGTAAAAAAGATTTAATGTAAACTAAATCTAAAGTAGAACATTTTTATGCTAAGTTAAAATTTCTGGTAGTTTTTTCATTCACAATTTTTAAGCAAGATTTTGCTACAGATAGAGGTAATTTTTTCCCAGCTAAATATCGATAAATAAATAAATCAATAAACGTAATACATTTTATTATTATCCATCTGCGTGCTTTGATCGGTTATTAAATTCTATAGGGGTATTGGACAGTCGGTCCCACGAAAATTCGTTCTCCTATTTTTTTACGCCTGAGAGCACTTGGCGCACAGCTGATAAGCAGCGCAGCGCCGCAGCGTTTGGCGTTGGCGTCTACGCTAATTAAACTCATTTTCACTCATCAAAACGCACAGCGGGAGCATTGAGCGAGTGCGACAATTGTCGCTAGATATGATGAACTCCGGCAAGGCAAGAGGGGAGTGCTGGCCATCGTCGTCGCCTTTGCCTTGGAAACAAAAGCATGCTTCGCTAATAATGCTCATGGAGGGCTGTCAATAAGTAGTACTATTCATTTGAGCCATATTGTCTGGCAGACGAAGCAAGCAATTTAATTCAAGGTCAATTTGATTCAAGTCTTTGTTTATGCGTTAACAGAGGAATACTGAATTTAATTATGGAAAATATGAGAAAAGCCATGCTCGAGTGCCCCAAATGCCCAAGTATTAAGTCGCTTTATTTATGAGTTTAATAATATTTGTACCCAAATGTTGCCATGAAATAAATTTCATGAAGGCTCTATACCAAAATTTTACTTAGAAGCGTGAAATATGGATGGAAAGGTGTTGCTGTATTGAATAAATTTTAAATGTAATATGTATTTATATATTTAATTTATTTGGATACATCTGGTTACCAAAGGTGGAAATAGAAGGTGCGGGGTTGCACTCACGAGTCGCCTTTGGCAAAGAGTCTTACATAGGATTTCACAATAAATTAATATTATTTCCGATTGGGCTAAACGAGTTTTTTAAATAAAATAAATGAGCACGTGTCTCACTTAAATAGTCAAATCCGCTGTCACTCGCGAAAAACAGGTGGAAAACTAAGTAAGAGTATTCAGCTGCGCGAAGTAGCAGCAGGGCTAGAAACTTTTCCGCAAGGTCCAAGTAAATGTAGCATAATTAAAGTACTGTCTATTTAATTGAAATTCATGCAACAAAGCAAAGCCAAGTGGAAGTCCTGCAATTGCCACTTGTCTGCCTGGTAAGAGATGGCCATTTGCTGCCCATTGAATATGCGCTAGCTGCAACATTTGAATGGTCGTTAAAGAGCTCGTGATTTGCGTGGCAAACACAATTATTTCCAGTTCACACGACATAGACACGCATACCTATACACATATGCACATACACACCTATACAAGTGACAGGTGGCAGGCGGTTGTCTGCGGAAATTAGACCCGGAATTTTGTGGCAGCGCAGCCTGAGACAAATTGCTATTCAAATATGAATTCCCGAATTAACTCATCTGCAATTTTGTATATAGGTTATTTTGCCTTGCAGTCATAAACTAGACTTCGATCTTAAAGGCATCTTCAAGGTGAAACTTTTAAAGAATATTTGAATTTAAATTGACATATTTTATGGGTCTTAATGCATTTCATAATACACAGCCTGCAGCTAGTATAACAAAAAAGCTGGCATACGTGTGGTATACGTAATGCACAGTCCATAAATAATAGAAAAGCGCAACGTTATTTGGCATGCCCCAGCTGCACAACATGCACCATTGCGTGCAACAGAATTGGACATGCGCTTTATTTATTTATTTATTTCTGTACGAGTGCAGGCACTACTGTAACTTAGAACTAGAAGTACACACACACATACAGAAAATGACACAATAATGTTGTAGCAAATGCCATTAAGGCGAAGTGCAGCAATGAGGCAGAAAAAAATATGTGAAACCCTGTTTGGGGAAATACATTAAAGAAAGACATAATTACTCGTAATTCCTTGTGTAATTCCTGTATATAACATTTAATTATTTAACTTTACTTGGGTAACTACTTGGCCGACCTCTCTACATAAAATGTGATTATTTAACAAAAATGTTAACTAAAGTTACTACTTAAGTAATTGCTTGGTTAATTCCTGTATAAGGAATTTAATTATTTCACCTAAAAAACTTGCAATTACTTGTGGGATTCCTGAGTATACAATGTAAATATTGCATCAAAATAACATACGTAATTGTAATTAAAAATGTAAATAACTAAAAGAATAGAAGGTTCTTTACATGATCGCTTTATTCAATTTAAAAGCAGAATGTTGTAGTTATTATAACAAAACAAAATTAAGTTTACATATTTAAAGCTTTCAAAACTTCATCAAGAAAAATGCCCTTTTGCTCTCTTCCTTTTAAACACATTTCTAACTGAGTATCATATCGTATAGCTGACATCTGAGGGTAAAAGTGTATTTAAGCTTCGACGCACCGATTTTCAATTTTCTAACTGATTTTTGCTATTTCTGCTGTGAAAGTAAATATTTGCGCGCAAATCAAACAATTGCCAGGCACTCGCAAGGCACAGCACATAGTACAACACACACACACACAGGCACACACGCACACGCACGAGCAGTTGAGTGTGAAAATTTGCAGTGACAACTCTTCGCGTAATATATTTTCAATTTAAACTGATTTCATCGCATTTACCAGGAGCTGCTGCTGCAGCAGCGATTGCAACATTTTATGGCACGCGCTGTGGGCGCTTAGCTTCATTGTTGCACATTGCGTATACGTAATATATGTTTGCCCTGCGTGCTGCAGATACTTTGTTATCTACCGTTACCCATCAGGCAGGTTACAGTGGCAAGTAGCAAGTGGCAAGTAACTACATATCTCTCTATGGGTTAGCCAATGTTGCCCCAATTTGAGGTTACTTTTCTCTTTATTTATTTTACTTGGTTTTTCTTTTCTATTTTTTTTTAACTCAAAAGGTAAATATGCATTCATTCATCTTGTGCGTGTGTGTGAGTGGGTGTGTGCGGTTGGTTTATACCTTTTGTGCGTGTTTCCATTCAAAGTGCGAGCACATTTTCCCTCAGGGGCAAGTTCACAACTGCGTATAGTGTGCCTGTGTGTGAGTGTGTGTGTGTGTGTCTCTGTGTGTGGTTAGCCCTAAAAAACGGAATCTTCTTTAAGCCGGCAACTATGCGTGTGTATGTGTATCTATCAAACGTTTGGTATTTTGTCATTTGGTTTGGAAAAGTTTGTTGCCGAATTTTGCAGATTTCATTACGGCTAGAATCTAATGCAAATCTAATGGTTACTGATTGCTAAAGATTAGTTTAGGATGAACCGCAACAGCTAGTTTCCAGAAGGTAAAATTGACATGCAATTCAATTAACTTTACCATCACCATTCAATATACTTAAGAGCGATCCATCATGGAAGTCGTATGTATACTTATCGACATTTGAATTTCTAATTAATTAGCTTGGATCCTTTCATGCTTATTGAAACCTGCAGCGCAATATTATTAATTAACATTAATGAATAATGCAAATCGATTAGCCTGCCAAAGACTTTAATTCAATTTTGGTAATTGCACAAGAAATATCGTAGAGCCCATAATAAATACCAAACAACAAGTTGGCCCACTTAAATGGTGGGCATATGTTGGTGTCCTGCGGGCTGATTTGGGCGGGTTACGTCGCCTGCCGGTCGCCTCATTAATTGTTAATTGAAATTTTAATTAAATATTTTGACAATGACGCAAATACCGCAAATGCTGGGCTCCAGTCAAGAAGACAAGAAGCCTCAGCTACAAATATTTAGCAGACAGCTGCTCATTAGCAAAGCTCGGCTGTGTATGTGTGTTTGTGTGGTTGTGGGCTTAGATGTGTGCATGTGTATGCGTGGGTGTGCTTTTAATGAGTGCTCGACAAATACTTAAGATAGGCATCAAAGACGTCGCCCTCAAAATTTTAAAGAGCAAATGACATTAGCTGATAATGCGCTACAATTTTAAAATAGGCTTAACTTAAGAAATAAAAGCACTAAAGCGTACTTTAAGCTTTAAGTGTTGCAAAACAGGTGGCAATTTTTGCTAGCAGTGTTTGAAACATATTTTTCGTATGATCTCACATTTTGATCTATGATTGCAGCATATATGAACTACTGTACATAACACCGATATCCTTGCATTACACATGGGCAATTGTTAGAGTAATTTGAAAATTTATTAGTCCTCTTTTATGGAAAAAGCTAACTTTAGGTATTACACAGACGATGGTAGTCTGCTGGCAATAGAAATAAAAAGCTATTTAATTGATTTAGCTTAAGCACCTTTAAACATAGAATTGTATTCGTTTGATTAGGTGACGATACCTACCTACTTAAACATTACATTTCCTTTTTGCAGAACACTTATTTCTACTGTTGTTTTTCTCATCTTTTATGAAAAAATCTCACTTTAGCTATTACACAACACAGTTTAGATATAAGGCTATTTGTTTGATCAAGTGGAAAAAACTTTCTTGAACTTTTTTTATCCTTATAACACAACACACATTTTTGCTGTTGTTCCTCTTGTAGCTATTACACAACACTGACATCGCTGATTTAAAGTAAAGATAAAAGGCTGTTCGTTTAGTTAAGTGAAGATAACTTTCTTCTTAAAATTTACTTTTGCGAATTGCGCAACACTAGTTTCTGCTGTTGCTTGAAGGATTAATTTGCCAAACATTGTCTCTCCACATTTCACAACACTGCTTTGCCACGCGCACGCAAATTTCGTTTTTCCCAGCTTAATTTAAGTGCCATTTTAAGCCCGTGTCATTACACAAAGCACTCAAAGTTGTTGTGTTATGAAATATGTATATAGCTACTTATGTATATGTGTGTGCGCTTCAGCTTACCTCCCAGATGAGTCGAAAATCCTGCTGTTCGACGCGCAGCAGCTCGCAGGTTGTCTTCGTCACGACGGTGCTGTCCCGTGGCAGGTCGTGTAGTATTGATTCGCCAAATGTGGCGCCCACGCCAAGATTACACAAAGTGACGGAGCTCTGCAATGAAGAAGATGTGGAAAAAGTAGGTGTTGAAAAAGAGGAGTGAGCCAAAGGGATGCTTTGTCAGGGGTAGAGGTTGTAGGCTACAAGTTAAAAGCTGCCCAAGTTTAGTTTGCAGCTGTAGATTAAACATTGTGCGGTAAACACAGCTGACTTAACCCAGCTCGGTTGAAATACCAGAGGGTGTCCTGTCCGTGTTTCGGTGTGTGTGTGTGCTAATTGCTCAATGTGCCACAATTTGTTTCAATGCTGCAATCTTGTGGCAGATTGTTAGCCAAACATTTGCTTACCAGCTGTAATCGCTTCATTGCACACAAGTTTTGCCAATAAATTCGCAACGGAAGCTGTCAAGTTCTAAACCGGAAATGTTGTGACAGCCAAAAAAAATGCAATTTCATTTTCGAAACCCCCCCAATCCAGCCCTGACGCACACAAACTACAATAACTAAGCGCCGCCTAACCGCAACATTGAAATGACATTTCATTTTCCAAGGCATCACATTTTCTGCATAGTTGCGCTGAATGCCCAGCACCTGGCTTGGAGTTGGGGCATATGCGACTATGTAATGAATTTTCTATCGAATTAAAATTTTTTTTGGTACGCTTATTGGAATATTTTTTAGGTGCCACGAGCTCAATTGTCTGTCACGAACATCTTTGAACACAATGTTCTTAAAATTTTTATTGATTTCATGATTTGTTTGAATATAGTTTTTATTGAATTGCATTAAAATTGTTTTCTACATTTCAAATTTCGTATAATACACCTCTTAGGTCTTGAACCATAGACTTTATTTACGTTAATACGCCTCTTAATATTGGCTTGGCAGATTATTATTTATTTTTACTTTTTCAAGAAATGTTTGCGAACAGATAGAAAAATAATACTTATTAAATTTCGGTGATTCAATAATAATTTTTTAGTATATCGCAGAATCCTTTAGAATTGGATTTAAATTTAGTTAGATTTATTAGAAACTGCTCATCGATCTCCTACCCGTTCCATGATTTCTCTTTTATGTGCCTCTTTAGTCTTGGACCATAAAAGACCTCAATCTACCCACATGGAAAACAACATCCGTATAATAAAATACTTATTTAAATTAGCGTGTACATTTTTTTTAAAGAAATATTTGAGATCTAAGAGAAATATTCAAAAAAGTTAATGAACCTTGTTGCGATTTATTATTGTTTAAAATTATGTTTTAATTAACGAGAGAATTCGTTTGGGCATTTGTTTGTTGCCTAATCTATATGTGATAGATTTGTAGATGGATTTGGTTGTGAAAAAAAAAAAATGGTATTTTAAAAATATAAGCAACTGAACTAATTTTTGCATTTGCTTGTTGTCTAATCTATATGCTGATAGATTAGCTTATCTAGAGTATTTTCTGGTGACATATTTTAAATAAAAAATGTTTGTGAGTCACAAAAAGGAACGCACATTTGCGGACTCCAAATCTTTAATATAAAACCCAAAGTATAATTAAAATTTGAAATTAGAATACTAGACAGTTAGATAGGGGTAGAGTGTATACAAATCTACAAACAGGTGTATACAAAATTAAAAAACCAAAAACAAATTTGTATTTTAACATGCTTTGTGGATTTTGAAACATTTGAATATTTTGCAGAGTAACATGTTGTCAGGCAAGGCTGATTAGTGAATTTTTATGGGATTGTTGCTAAGTTTGCATCTGCGGTTTGTGCTGTTTGTTTTCGCTGTTTGTTGCTGTTTGTTCTTACTTTCCCAAAAGACAACTTCTTGGCATCGCTCGAGGGCCCAGCCTCATTTCAGTGGGCTTAACTTGGCCCCCTCTCTCTCTCTCTCTCTCTCTTGGCCAACTGCTTGAAGCTGGGTACTGGGCGCTAGGTCTGAGGCAGCGCATGTAATTGGCTTAACAAGACTTACACACGACCGCAAAATTGTTAAACTCGCATTAGTCGGAGGCGTGTGTATTGGTGTGTGTGTGTGTTGTGCTTGAGTTTTCTTTACAGTTATTACACATGCAGTGGGTTTTGGCCGTGGTAGATGCCGCGACAGCAACAAATACTTAAGATCCGCTATAAAACATAATTTAATTATTTATGCGCTATGTAATTACAATTGTTGTTACTGTTATTGTTGTTGTTGTTATTATTATTGTTGTTTTTTATTGTTGTTGTTGTTGTTGGTCAAGTGCTGACTTGAATTTCACGCGTCCCATTTGAAAATTTAATTTACTTGACTTGATTTATGGCGACTTTTGTTTTTGACATTCCAAAAGTATTTTTCACTGCTTCTTCTCCTTTTTTTTTTAGCTCTTGGCCTGCTTTGTCGGCGTGAAACGCCATAAATTTTGATTGCTTTCTAATTGTTGTTGGCCAACAGTTTTTGGCCCAAAGAGATATTTCGCTAAATATTTAGATAAAGTCTGTGAATCGTTTACAGAATCGAGCTACACGCTGCGAACCGCAACATCGTAAAATTCGCATATTACTGGGAAATCAATTTAATTGATTTTTTAAATGTAGAAAAAAGAGAAAAGCACAAAAAACAGCCAAATGAATATTTGTTTATCCGAGTGAAAGAAATTGGATTTTATTGAATTACATAGAATAGTAGGGAACTGTGTTGATGAGCTTAATAATAATTATTTTAATGGTTTATAATTGTTAATGTTTGTGCTTGCGGTATTAACTTTGAGCTGTTTGTTTTGCCTAAATGTTTCAGTTTATTTTTTACTTTTGTTTTTAGTTTTTTATGTTGTACATACTATTTAATTTCCGTTTCTGTTTTGTGTTATGTTTTTTTTTCTTTTCAAAGGCTTGTGCTCAGTATATTAATTAAAGACTACATACCAAAGGTTTTCACAGAAGGGTGGGGTATGTATGTATATGTTTAATCAGCATTTAGAACTTATTTAGCTTATCTTAATGAATATATGGATCTTGATATATGGATCTGGATAAGATATTCTTATATTTTAAAATATTTGAGACAGGGTAACAGCTCGTTGATCATTCTCTCTTGTTTCAATACAATTTCTATCATTGCCATTCACTTTATTAAATTAATCTAAACATATTTAAAATATCTCAGATAGGGTATCTACTAGTTGAGCATTATCTCTTCTTTCACTACAATTCCTATCATTGGCAATTCATTTCCTCGTTTTGTTTCTTTTATCACAATTTCCCGCCGGCGCACAGCTCCTGAGCTTTTCGCTTGCATTGAGTAAATCCCATTGATAGTTGGGAATGGCTTATTGAGCCAAGCCGGTTCGTTTTCAATCGATGTTTGGTGTTCTTTGTTATGTTGGAGCTTAGACCATTGGCCATTGTGTGCATTTTAATTGGAATCTAATGGAAAGAAAGTGCTCATCATAAGCTAAAGGGCCTATAAAGGCTTTGTGGGATATATAACATTTTGCAACATTTTATTATGCAGGAGAAAAATGTTTATTATCGGCTTTTGTTCTTTTATACCTATATATATTTGTTCTTTTTAATAATGTTGCATAACGTAGAGCTCTATGAAAATACAATTACCTTTTCTATGTGTAATCATTTCCCCAAGGCAAATTGAACGACAGATTTAAACTCCATAATTAAGCTTAGAGTTAAATAAACATAACAAGACATAATATGCTCAAAGACAAATAAACTTGATTTGGAAAGGGCAAATTAATTAGGAATCAGAAGGCAGTCCATTGATAAAATTCCTAATATTTTCTGTACTAATCCTTAATAGGGAAACTGTAGGAGTTAAACAAGTTTTATTAACACTATTTATTTTAAGCCTTAAATTAATATTTGTTAAGCATTAAAGTTCCTTAAATATAGATATTAGTAATAAAAAAGGAGCTGCTCCTTTTCTCTTTCTTTTCTATCCAAAACAATGATTTGTTACCTTGATTTAGCTAAATATAAAAGTCTTGCAAATGGCATCCTTTACACACAGATAAATACCTTCTCCTGCAAGAACTTCGTGACACATAAAATCCACCTTCAAATGGATAAAAAATAATGTCACAGTCCATTGCAGAGTTGAACCATTGAGCACATGCCGCAATCAGACAAGGCTATCAAAGAAATATACTTATTTGTATCTCAATGTTTTCCATATGCTAACGATAGCACACGACAGCCACACACACAGACACACACACAGACAGTGTCGTACTCCAAACATAACTTGCATATTTATATCTGACTTAAGTGTGGGCACGTACTTTTTACATACTTTTCATACTCGTAAATGCAATGCAATGTTTTACCTTTGCATAATGTCGCGTTGATTGCTCCACATTATACGTACAACTGCGACGAAATAACATTTTTTACACGGCTGCTTTCTATTATTTGTTATGCTTTTTTTATGTGCAATATGCTTGTATTTGTGTGTAGATTTTATTTTATTTTTTTATTATTTTAGTTTTGCAACAAATTTTTCATTTGCTGGTTTATTTTTTTGTGTGTCAAATGCTGTAATAAATTTTTGAAATACGTAATCAAAATAATAGCATGCAAATGTGTTTGTTGTGTGTGCGTGTGTGTGTATTTTTGAATGAAATTCGCAAAACGTGTGCCACTGTTTACGGGCCGCAAACTATACAATATGAATTTGGCTAGTAGTTCTTTTTTCGGCTCGCTGATAAATGAGTTGCAAGCGTGCCCAGCGCCACAAAAAAAATATGTTCGTGGCTAACAACAACAACAACAACAACAACAATAACATCAACAATAACAGCAGCTATTGGCAACAACATTTGCATGCCACACATTTTGCACATGTAACTTTTTTGTGTAAGATATATATATTATTATTAAATCTTTTTGGCTTTTTTAGCGCGTACCACTTTCGATTTATGGCCATAATTGAATTGGCAGCTAGGCACGAAGTCTTAAATAAAACAAAAACAACAACAACAATAGAATTGAACAGCAACACGCGCTGCGAGATGTGCTTGGCAAGTTGTGCAACCGCGCGGTGTCGCGTCGTAAACTGAACTGAAGTTGGCAATTGGTGCCGTCACACGGCAGAGTTTAAATTAGCAGCACGACATAACAACAGCGGTGCCCAGGTGTGTGTATGAGTGTGAGAGTATGTGTGTGTGTGAGTGTGCGAGTGTCTTTGTGTGGCTCTCTTTATGCAACGCTGCTGACAGTTGCTGAAGTGTGGCAGCAACAAAGGCAGCCACCACTTGCTGTGGCGTGTCGCAAATTGGAGCAGCCACAGTCGCAGCCTCAATCAGGCATGCAAAATACGCGTATCTCATATCATGAATGCTCCCTGTTAGAAAAAAAAAAAAACAACGCAACTTGCAAACAAAGTTGTCAACAAAAATTTCAGCTCTGTTTGCTTTTGCTGGCCAGTTGCTGCCTCAGTTGTGCAGCTTTCACTGGCTCTTGCCGTGGCAGGTAGCAATATCAAAGCAAATGCAATTAATCCATTGACATACGCTTTCGTATCGCATGTGCCCCAAACCCCGGCTAACTGGCCAAATGCCTAGCTGCTGCTGCGCTTGAAGAACCCCACGCACACAACTGCAACACTTCCGTCTCCGGCAGCAACTGTTGCTGTCGGCTGCCTGCTGCTGCAATTGCAATTGCTGTTGTTGTCGGTGTAATGCACTTCCAACTAATATTGCGGCTGCCCTGTGGCCTCTGCCTCGGGCAATCGCAATGGTCTTGATTGTTGTTACTTGATGCAAAATCGAATATGAGATGTGCTTGAAGACAGGCTGCGTGCACTGTAAAAATATCAATTGAAGAAGCTTTCAGATTGAAATTCTAAAAATAGTTAATATACGTAAAAGCAGCTTTTTTTATATACTTTCGACTAAGTTTCGCGTCTCAAATTTGCAATAATTTTCCCAGCCTCTTTAAATTCTTTCTAAGTGCTCTTCTCTTGGAAGTTTCTTTTACATTTCTGGCTTTAGTCAATTGATTGTATAATTTATTAATTATTTATCATTTTTTTCATATTATTTAATAGTTTTTAATAGTCTTGACATCTAATTATTGGTGTTTCCCCCGAAATATTTAACAATGCAAAGTAATTAATATATTAATACATGCGATAGACAGCCAAAATGCCTTAACGATTTTCTCACAGTGCATTAATCAATGTGAACTGCAGCCGTTGACTCCCTCGGTAATGAAATCATTTGCTGCAACTGTGTAAATCCTAGAGTCAAAGTCTTCCTTTAATTAAGCAACTGTTTTTGGCATGCGACTTATTAAAGTTGGCCCGGCGAAGGTGTTTGTCAATGTTAAGGTTGAACAACCTGCCCTTCTCCCAGCTGCTGCTGCTCTTATTTGATTTATTTCTCATCTCGTTTTTCACTCCCTAAGTGGCAAGTGCTTTATGAGTTCAACAAAAAACAAAACAAAACAAAATCCAACAACAATCCATGCTTGAGACTAGTAATTAATTTGATTTTAGCCTGTTTCAGTGAAGGTGGAGCACAAAAAGCAGCTTTGCCAAAACAAGTCAATGACTGCTCACAATGAGTAAGCAGAGGCTAAAGCATTTCATGAGCCGAATTGCGTGTATCCATAAGATACTCGCAATCCACAGTCCACAGTCAAAAAATCTGCATAAGCAACGCGAAATTGTTTTACATTGAATTTTGTTGCACATAAATGGCATGTGCTCTGGCAATTTCTGCGTTTTATTCAGCCTATTAAATGCGGCGTTATTTAATAAATTATTAATTTGTTGTTATTTTTATTTATTTTTTGCTTTTCCGGTTGGGAATTTCTGTTGTTTTAATTGGGGTTAATGTTTTGTGGCTTGTATCTGTAATTTACATGATTATAAATTCAATATAACAAATTACAGCTCTTTTTATAAACCTTTATGGTTAAAAGTTTCTCTAAGTGGGTATTAATTATGTTGAAATATTGACATAGGTATGATAAAATATCAGCAAAGCTAAAAAAAATTTAATCTGTTGTCTTTAAAATAAATATATATATGGGGTAGGAAACCTATATTTTCTCAGTAAAACCCACCTTTAACGTTATGACCGAGCAGAGGCTATGCAAAAATCATTTAAATGATTAACGCGTGAATTTGAGCACCGCAAAACGTGTGAAACTATTTTTAATGACATTTTCTGTTGCGCCGTTAGAAAATGGCACAATTAATAGAATTTTTCCACGCCTTTAGATAGAGAAAAAGTCGTATGCAGTTCGCAGTTCTTTACACAGCCTCATTTTCCGCGAGTTGCATGTTGTGATGACATTAGATAAAAAAAAAAAAACTTTTTATCTTGTCATGCATAATTAAAATACAATTT